GGCGTCTCTCTTTAATAAAAGGCGCCATGATGCAAGAAATGTCGTCCCAAATCTGTGTTGATCCGGGCCTTTCCGGAAAGGCCCGGATGAAACCCTTTTGAAGAGATCCTTCATGACTATAAAAGCAATTATGACAAGTCAAGTGTAAACTGTTTAGTGTCGGTCTCTCTGACAAAGGCTGGACAAGTGCACCTTTTTTCTTGCGAAGCGCTTCGGGGAAAATTCACAGGTTCAGTTTGCTGGTTGATGGTTGTTTCCATCAAGAGACATTTGGTTCAAGGATAGTGGATGCTTCCACTTAGGCTTCCTCGGTTCTCTGAGCACACCCGATCACACCCCGCTTCCAAGAAGTGTGCGAAATCTACGACTCTAATTCGCTTGGCGGTGTCGAACAAGGGATTGGTGAATTGCAAACGAGAAGGCTGATCTGCTATGTTACTATGTGAAGGAACTCTGCCAAACCAGCTGTATATCTTGATTCGTTCTTCCAATCGGACAAAATTCTGCACCATGGATTTGGTATGCACAGTTGCTCCAACACCCTGTATGAAAGCACTGCGAGCAGCTTCGTTGTCAATATAAAAAACAACTTGGCCACCAGCGATGTAGGTAGCCCAGAGCGAAGCTGCCATCAGGACTGGCAGGATTTCCAACTCATATATGGGATGCTTTGATGTGCCCAGCAAGATCTCCAAGAACTCGGCATTGACTCTTTCTCCAAAAAGTTCAATCAAAGTCCCGTGCGGGCTGACAAGAACGCCTCCCACACTACCGAAACCCTGGTCAGATTTCTCATACGCTCCATCGGTGAATACTAGCCAAGTCCAACACAAAGCTCGACTAACCCTCACAGGTTGGGACTGCTCCACCAATTTCTCAAGACCCTGCAAGGCTTCAGCCAGCGAACCCTGGACCAAGACCCTGCTAGTGCGAACCCGAGAAAATTCAGATAAAGTCCGAACAAAGCCATTCATCAACCTACCATAGATGAAGGAGCTGAACCAGACTAGTCTCCCATGCAATCGTTCGAGCTCTTTTGGAGCAGCGGCTGCTGCCTTCAGAATGGAGCGTAAGCTATTGAGCAACTCGTCACGCCTCTTCGAGGTATGCTGTATCGAAAAGGTTCCTGAAGTGACCGTTGAGACATCTATTATCAAACCCAAGGACTTGAAAGCACTTTGGAAGGGTGGAGCTTTGTCACCTGTGGCGGCGTATTCGACTCCAAGCAATTTAAACAATGACTCAACGTACCATCCGACGTTATCAGCCTCCTCCTGTGTGCACAGTACAGTAAAGTCATCAAAGAAACTAGTCCAGGTGATGTCCAAACCATATGTGCCAATGTATGCGATGCTGCAAGCAACTCTGAGGAAACTGGTGACGCTTCCTGAAGCTCCGAACGGCAGTGCGTAGACTTTGAACAGGCCGTACGAGCCTCCGGGTTTCCGCACTGCGATGTTCAAAAACTTGCTGTGCCACTCATCCACACCAAACTGTTTGTAAGCATGTTTAAGATCAAACGTGCGTCCTACCAGAGCAGGGCATGCAGCACCTTCGGTAGAGTCAAGGATGTAGGCAAGGTAAGCTGTGAGTTCATCTATGCTTTGAACCCGAAGCTTCTCTGTCATACCGTAGGCAGAATTGGCTCCACAGATCGAGAAATCATCGATCAATCGCACTTTGCTTCCTTGCACCAGAGGAAAACGCTTGGCAATGACACATTCACTCGACCCATCGCTAACACCGAGCCACCCCTTCTGAACCTCTTCCATGGTTTCGTCCCAAGCATACTGATCATGCGGACCTTCAGTGCTGTTTTCCAACGAGCCCGTGACCGCCGCATTCAAACCGGCTGCTCTTTTCCGCAGTTCCTGGGTTGTCAAACTGGGCTTTCGAACATGCTTGTGGAACACTCCAGTTTGCGGCGCCCAACCTGTCAATGCGAACCCTTTTACAACATCATCGATAACGGCTACGTCAGAGTATGCAAGGTCAATCAAGATCTCCTTCCACAACAAGAGCCGTTTACCCATCAGGATGGGGACCAAGTGTGGCGCAAGGGAATCATGCAACTTCTGCTCGCTTTCTTTCAGCTCCAAGGATCTCTTAAGCCATTTCTTCATGAAGGCTGCACGCTTTTGGAAACGAACAGAGCAAGGTTGATGCACCAAATTCAAAAGCAGGTCCCGCTCGGCGTCCCGTATGTTTGCAATGATGTCTCTAGGGTGACCCTTGTTCAAGGCTTCTTGTATAAACTCACTGGGTTCCCTTGGGATGCCAATGTTCACTACTTCACATTGCCCATCCGTGCCACACCTCTCGTCAACGACAACAGTGCGTGATTTCTGTGCCATGTCATCCCGATTCCACCCCCGCTGCTGGAGAACCCGATGACAAATGCGAGCTCCCTTGGGGAGTGTACGAAGAGTTTGCTCCAAAAATTCGGACCTATCAGGCAAGGTTACCACCGTTACATAACCCGAGAACTCAGAGACCAACGGCCTGAGACGACGACCTCTAGGTTGTGTTGTAAACAGCTGGCGTTTTGCACTGACATTGGTGTGGTCCAACTGTTGGTGCAAGTCAGTGGGAAAAATGAAGCCCGCCTTTGTGGCCTCTGTCCTCAAGATGTATGCAACGCGCTCACACAGCAAGTGCGGATAAGCGGCTTCATCTGCTGTTGGGAAAATTCGTTTCCCTGAGGCGTCCACATAGGGTTTCCAGGGCGCGTGTTGGTGTTGTTTGTTACACTTCAGTGCCAAGCTCGCGAACAAATCCCTCTGCGGATCACGCGGGTTGAAGCTATACCAAGCAGTGTCTTTATCACGCTTTCCCCCGTGCATGCAATGGTGAAAAGTGCAAACATGGTAGGTTGGCAACTTGCCCAACAAATGCTTTAAGAAGGAAGTCTTCCACAACAAAGAGTTGCGAGGGTTTTCAATGCTGATGCTGACTCCCAATTCCACCAAAGCAAAAATAAGCTCCGACATCGCTGCATAACTTCTGTTAGCCTCTGACACCCTTTGATGCTCCGACTCCGTCAAGTTGGGTAGGCCATCTGGATAAGCATCGCTCCTCAAAGGCTTTGGAGCGGTTTTGAAACCTGGAATTGGCCGTTCTCTTGCACGCGAAGCAGTACCACAGCTTGGAGCAAAGTGTGCATGCAAGATGGCACTTCTCTCTTTTCCAGATAAGTGCGCAAATTCAAGAACTGTTCTTCATTGGTAATGTCACAAACGTACACCGGAAAGTTTTCTGAACGGCCTGGGTCCTTGTCAATCGCAGTGCACCTGAAGTCAAGCGAATGGCAAGCTTTCGAGAGTCGACAACTTCCTGAAAAAAACTTCCACGAACAAGCAATCGGTTCGGGCTGAATCGTTGTGCAAGTCATGCATAGCCGGCTCAATGAGCTCCTGCATAGCCAGTCCATTGTCCTGTCTCGCAGAAGCCGGCCCTTGTGATGAGCAAAAAGTGGGTGAAAACAACTGCCCTGCTTCATTCCGTTTTGTTTCATCGTTGCAGGGCTCATGGCGAGATAGTCAAGATGATTCTTGACAGTTTGCAGCCCCGTGGCCCGTCTTCAAGCAACGCATGCATACATGAAAACCGAACCTACAGCGGCCCTTCTTGACTTCATTACTGCACCCTTGTTTGAGGTTTCTCTTCCAACAAATTGGTTTTCCATCTTTCGTCTTCAAGTGCAGTCCGGTCAGTTCGGATGGTAACTGGCTAGGCGAACGCTGGGCACCCGGCTTGGGCTGCTTCTGCTTCTTCGGGGGGCGGGTTGGACACCTTGTCACCTTCTTGCTGAATGCTACGTTTCTCACCTCTAGCAGTTGGGGTTAAATGAATATTGATGCGAGGGTCATTCATCAACCTTTGAATGACTGCATCGAGAGGTGGCGGATCACCAACGTTTGCCCCCTTGAGCGAACCATCAAATTCGGCTGCTATAGTTAGGAATAGCTCCTGATCGGCACGAAGCAACTGCTGCAAGGTGATGCTATTAAACCCTGGGACTGCTTCAGACATGAGTGCTCTAAAGAGTTTGTTGACCCATTCCATATGCACTGGCCAAGACACAAGATTGACTAAGTCAAACGCAAGTCCCCGGCGCTGAAGGGCGTACATCAATTTCATCTCAGTCCCAATGTCCACAGAGACCAGGGCATCTGAGGCTGTGGCCTTGATAGTTCCTTGCTCCAAAGTCAATAACTGCTTCTGCTTGTTCTTTGCTTCTGACTGGATTTCAGCATCTCGCGAGCCACACTTCGAAGGTGGCAGGTAAACAACTGCACCGGTCTCAAGAATGTTGAAGGCTGCATCAATCAAAGCATGAGAGGCCTGCTGCTCGTGTTTATGACTGATTCCAGTGATGCGCGTTTGCTGAGCTCTCAACCTCCTCTGCTTCTCGATGAAGGGCAATGTCTTGCCAGGCTCTGTCACATCACCTGCTGTTACCTGCCTCTTGAGATCGGCAACAACTAAAGTTACGGCTTCAAAATGCAAACGCTTCACCTTCGAAACCTGTGCAAGAGTGGCAGCTACTAGGAAAATCCTATCTGCGAATCGCTGCATAGCCTCATCTGTTGGAGCTGTCTGAGGGGCTCCAACAGCGTATGCAAGTGAAGCGAAAGTGACAATGCCAGCATTACTCATTGTATCATATAAATTCGGATCCAGCTCTTTGCAGCGTTTCTCAAACGCAGCTTCTGAGTCGACTAAGGCCATGGCGATGCTAAGCAACCTGAAGCAGGTTGTCTACCTGTTGTATGGCATGCTTCCATACTATGTTTGGTATTCCCGTGGATCCGATTTTGTGTGCTGCTTTCTAGCCATGTTCCAACTACCGTTGATGTTTCTCAATGCTTTGAGCAGACCCGCACTGAACCCTGGCTGTTTCCAAGGTCCTGGATCCAAGACAAAACATACTCCAAACAAGTAAAATTTCAACGAAAAAGGTGTTAAATTTAAGACCTTTTTGCGGCACAAGACGACTCAAACAGACCAAGAAATCTTAGAATTTTCTTTTCTCTCGCTCGAGACACCGGCTGAGTTTCCAACAATGGAACCCTGCCCTTCATGGCCCATGATTGGCCCGGCACCTGTTAGTGCCCTAGATCACAGAAAATGCTACACTTCATACTCTACTTTCTTTTTCCAGCATGGGTGACATAGTGGAGTGTCAAACCTCACCTCCTCCACCACGCCGTATCTTTCTGGCACTGCTTTGCGACCACACAACAAGATGAGCTGGTGTTCCTTCTCCATGCAATGCAAAGTTCGAAGCTTCGTATGCTGCACAAGCTTCAAAGAGTCCGGCACGGTAGGAACACGCAGCGGTCTCCTGGCCCCACTGAGGACAGCGGCACTCTCATCTGAGCTTGTGGATGTATCCGGCGCCTCTGATGATGCATTGTCCTCCTCTTCCCTCTTCGGGCTGTCAGGGTCGACCTCAATGATTTCGGCAGACTCTCGGCTCTGGTTGGTCACCTCAACTTCTCGTGGTTTGTTACAAGGCTCACTGGCTTCGACCCATTCACCAACGAGTGAGAAAGGTGTTGACGCGAAGGATTCGTCCATGGTGCAACCCTCCAGAACCACGTCCCTGAATCTTCCGCTCCTGGTCTCATCTGGGCGGAAACGGCCAACACGCACATCATTGAGCAGCTCCTCCAGGACTCGCAAAGGTCTGGCCATGGCTTCACGACTGTAAGTGATAGTCGACTTGATAAAAGACACGTGCCCACCAAGCACTTGCCTATCCTCCCAAAGGTCACCATGTTTGGACAGCCAACTCAACAATGTGCACTTGCAGCTGTGGGAAGTGATCCTCCGGTCGGTCAGGTCGATCTCACACCGAGCCAACAACATACGGGTCCAGCTCTTCATCTCATCTGTCGTCAACGGCCGTCGACTCGGACTGTTGTCTGCGTTCGGAGCCGGCATGGTTGGGAAGTTGTCGTCAAAACAGATCCCAAGTTGCTCACGCACTTCAACCCAAACTGCTGCCCAATTGTGATCTGTAATTCCGTAAGCAGGGCAAATGGCCGGCAGAAAAGAGTTTCTGAATGCGCTTGACCACTTGCACTTGTGTTCATTGATATGAAATTCCAGAAATGCAAGTTCGCCATAATCGTCATGATCATGCAACACACTCTCCGCCTGCTGAAGGTCTGACCAACGACTTCTGGTGTAGACTGTTGCCAACACCATCCCGGCCAACATACGGTCCCAGATGTCACATGTTTGGTCGGCCAGAATCGAATGCAACGCCTTCAACTCTGTGACTGTGAAGGGACTAGCCTGCCTCTTCGGCCCCCCAGCTTTGGCTCCCGACGCTCCAAGACACCTGCGTGATGTTGTGAGGGGCTCCAGCTCACTGACTCCCATGACATGTTGCACGAACGTCAACGATTGCATAATACCTTGCAAGCGAGAAGTAGGCCGGCCCTCATCCTTTAAGCTTGACAGAAAGTAATACAAATCACCTTCATGCCCAGGAAATGCAATTGTCTGCACCTTCAAAAAGGTAACATAGCGTAGAAAAGAATTCACACGTTTCAACAATGTAGACGGTGCCTTCTTGTGGAAAATGTCACGCAGCATCCTGAGCTGATTCGAGACGTGATCCAGCGCTGTCAACTGGCGAACAATTTCAATGTCACCTGGCAGAGTCATAAGCACGTCATGCCATCTCCTGAGACCCACCTGAAAATCAGCCTCACGCTTGTCAATCCAAGTTGTATCAACGTCAGCTTTAACTATGCTATGCCAAGAGGAGTGTTGCTGTGGAACTCGTGCACGTTTTCCTGGTCGTTCTTCTGAACTCTCAACACCAACAATCACTGGCAAGTTGGCAGCTTCAAAGTCAAAAAGAGCCGAATGAGGCTCAGTGGTTGGATTGAAGAAACCCTTCCAAAAACCGCTCTCCCACGGCAACCGAAAAGTCTGGCTGGCCGAATGTTCACTCCAGGTTTGCTCAACCAGCGTTCCGACCTCCATACGGGGCCGTTTCAAACGCCGAGCAGGAATGCAGCCATCCGCGACCGGGCCGCCGAACCCTGTGGTTTGTTGCCAAAGGAAGGAAAGAAATGAAGGTGCATTGCGACTAACTGCAACACGAAATGCAAGAAATGTACACCCCCGAGCTAATTTGAAGAAAATGGTTCCTCAAAATTTCGGAGGTCCCACCCACCCACACCTTGAGCGGAAACGTTCAGAGAACACAGAATGATCTGCTGATCAGTTACAAGAAGTTGGAACAAAGTAGACTAATAAACTGTGAGCACAAGTGTTGCTTGTGTTGTCTTTAAAAAGATTACACTCACACAGCTTGAAAAGATTACAGTACAAGTTCCAAAAGCTGAGTGACATCAGTGAAATTTTCAGAGTTTTGTTTTTACTAAACAAAACTTTGGAAAACGCGCGTCCGCATGTTTGCGAGCTTGAGCTACCGCCAAGCATTCATACACATCCCGCGCAAAGGAGCACACGCATGCTTGCACTAATCCTATCATAGATAGGATTTTTAGAAGCTTTTAGAATAAGGCATGCATCTTTTTGAAAGAGGCTTAGCTTATTCTCATCGCTTCTAAACCGTGCAACCATCTTATGCTACGTTCTTTTAAACAAAACGTTTAACAAGACAGCCGGCTCCTGTCAGCTTGCTGATGGTTGATTATAGTCATGTGGACAGCGGTGTTCATAACATGGCGTCTCTCTTTAATAAAAGGCGCCATGATGCAAGAAATGTCGTCCCAAATCTGTGTTGATCCGGGCCTTTCCGGAAAGGCCCGGATGAAACCCTTTTGAAGAGATCCTTCATGACTATAAAAGCAATTATGACAAGTCAAGTGTAAACTGTTTAGTGTCGGTCTCTCTGACAAAGGCTGGACAAGTGCACCTTTTTTCTTGCGAAGCGCTTCGGGGAAAATTCACAGGTTCAGTTTGCTGGTTGATGGTTGTTTCCATCAAGAGACATTTGGTTCAAGGATAGTGGATGCTTCCACTTAGGCTTCCTCGGTTCTCTGAGCACACCCGATCACACCCC